AAAAAAAAAAAAAAAAAAAAAAAAAAAAAAAAAAAAAAAAAAAAAAGAATAGGGACCGAAAGACTTATCCATCACTGCTTCTTGATGCTCTCTCTCAGTTTGAGGAGTCCATGAGCAGTGGGCAGATGCTGTATTACTCTCCATCTTCTCAGAACAAAAGATCAAACCACAAAATCCCACTCAACCGAACAAGAGGAGGATTTTATGTTGGAACTGAATAAATGACAATAAATCAATCTAAAAGCAGAACATTAATGGTTACTGAATAGTGGGTGGAGCTCTCTAAATTGGTAACTATATATCTATCAAGCCTTATGAAGTTTCCTGATATTATTTTTCAAACCCAATAGTCCATTTGATGTCTTGATTGATGTATAAAGGGTTGATAAGTTGCCCTTATAAAAGTATGCAGCTCATTGCTACTGAAGATATGATTTGAAAAACACAAGGAGTTTGAGAAGAAATGAAAATCCGGGAAACTAAATCACCCAGATCAAATAATTATAGTGACCCAGTAACTAGCAAATAACTTTTTTTTTAAATTAATTCTTCGTTTTTTTTCTCCCCAGAGTCACGTGAACAAAACTGTCCCTGACAAGTGCTTGACAATCTAATTGAGAGAAATGCTTCTACAGCACTGATTTTCCAAAAGGAGCATCTTAACTGACAGCTAATACTCCAAAACTTCAAGTTTTCAAAAAGTCTGGAGATTACTGGACGCCACTGAGCAAAACTCAAACTCAGGATGTTGGAATAAAAGGGACCATATATGTCAAATCCAAATCCCTGCACAGAGTGTTCTTTAATCCAGTGATCCCTCCCTACTAGTACCAATAGTGATACTTCAGGCTTTTGTGGCTGATCTCTACATAAGTCTTCCCTACCGTACCTTAATGATCAACAGTTGAGCCATCTGCTGTAGCAGAAGGGACCCTCTTTGCTTGACATTAAATTACGCCTGTTCTAAACCGGGAACAGAACTGGGCTACTCTGACTCCCAGCATCACAATTGTGAGGCTGGTATTTGAAATTGTTCAATGTGAAATGGAGATTAGACCCAAAGCAGCTGAACAGTAGACATTAGGCACTGGCTGGTAAAGCAAAAGTTTAGGGTACAATTTTCAAGCAAATGTAAGAGACTTAGGAGCCTAAGTCCCATCTTCAAAAAGTAATTTAGGGTTTTCGGACCCTAAATTCAACTTACTTGCACTGAGATCAATGGGAGTTAGGTGCCTAACCTGCTTATGAGCTTGTGAAAATCCCACTAGGCACCTCTCTGCATCTTTAGGTGCCTAAATACCTTTGAAAATCTGATCCTTAGTCACCAGGCATTTCTGAACATTTTACTTTTAGTCTACTCAACAGAGGGGCTAAACTAAAAAAAAGAGGAAGAAAGTCTAAATGTTCTGCCTCGTGCTTGACATGACGCTCAGTAAAAGGTCTGGTACACCAGAAACACTAGAGAAATACTATTAAGGCTATCAAGCGTTCCCAAAGATCCTGAAGATAGATATAGTCCAAAGGCAGTAAAGTCACTCATAATCAGGTTCAACCTCTAAGTGCCTGTCACTGGAACGTAAAACAGAATGCATGTATTTAGCATGGTAGAAAAATCTTCTTCCTTTCATATTGCACTTGCCATCATTAATGGACCACGGAAAGTTGGTGCCTATTGATGAAAATGGCCAGCCTTTGAGCTTGTCTTATGGTCACAAAACCTTGGTGTTAGACAGCTTCTTGAAAATTGTTTCTCTTTTCAAGCAAGTCCCCAAAGCAATATTCCCTTGAAGCTGAATGAGAAGAGACATAGAAGTCATCTGTTGGTGAAGGATGGAGCCAGAGGGGTCTTTTTTTAGCTTCTGCTCTGGGCTGCCATGCTGTAGGAAAGAAAGTGGGTGAGGTAGTATTTTTTATTGGACAAACTTCTTTCCAATAAAAGATATTACCTCACCCACCCTGTCTCTCTAATATCCTGGGACCGACACAGCTACCACTACACTGTTGTAGGAAAGGCAGGCAGAGAGACACAAAGATGCAATCAGATAGAGATGCAAAAGGCACAAGGGATACGAAAATTAGCCTCCAACAGATGGGTTGGAAGAAATAGAAGAACTTAGCCTAACTAGTGCATCCAATAGGACAGTGAAGGATTTTGTTGTGGCTTTTGCTCTTCAGACAACAACACAAAGAAACCATATAGGCACAGCTGGGTCCCAAATAACCATATTATGAAATATACACAAACATTCATGTCTAGCTACATATTGTTGCTCTGACTGGTTTCTGAGGGCTTCTAAAAAATAGAAAACAGTGAGCACCATTAGAGGATTCAAACTATTTAAAGGGGTACTACCCTTTTAGTGTATACTATAGATGTCATTGCTCCATATAGGCACAACTGGGGGTGGAAAAACAACCTTCCTTTGTGTATGACAACAGCATTAGACTTTTGCTCTACCCTGCTATCCTCAAGAGCTAGGAGACTTCTGTTAGTCTTGCACTAAGGAGCAAAGACTCACAAGTGAGAAACCTATACAGATAGTGTCTTTAGAAAAGGGAATTTACTTTAGAGATTCTAAAATACATTCCTGGTAAAAATCTATTTATCCACATTTACAGTATGACAAATTCTGTGATTCATTATTGTCTCATTCACTGATGTTTCCTTGTTTGAAACAGAGTCATATTAGCTTGTTCTATTTTCCTACTTTGTCAAGAAACTCAGTCTCACAAGAACAACCTATAGGAGAGCCTTTCGGAGGACTCCAGAATGGAAGCATACCACAAGAGTATTTTTCTGCAGCAGATCTCTTCAAGCGGCCCAGAGCATGAAGAATCTTGGCCATCCAGCACGTCAAAGCTTCTTCTGAGCAAATGAGTTTCCAGAGACTCAACGAGACCTTATTTTATTAGTTAGAAGCTACCAAATTTAAAATTACTAAAGCTGATTAAGTTGCAGGAGGCAACTTAGCAGAATCGATCCTCATGATGCAAACAGAGAGAGAAAGCAACAAGAAGCAGTTCACATCTAGTGGATGAATCCACCTGGTTAAATTATAAATCCCAACAGCATGGATCTACAAAGCCAATTACAGATGAATTATTTCTTGAATATCAAAGGAACTAAGAAATATTAACTTGATAATAATAATTCATGTACTCACCTGACTCTTGCAAGTATCTATATACCAGGAAGTTAACCTCATCACTGCTTATACTCATCTTTATTCCCACTTAAACCATGAGGTCACGACAAAGGATATAACCCTAAAAATAAAGTAAAGAACCGTAAGTTAGATAGGTAATTTTAAACAACCAATGCCAGTTTCTCAACAAATGGTATACAAAAACAAGACACTTCTTCACAATGTTGAAAATGTGGATTTTATTTCACAATGTAAAATCTGTCTGAATTTCCACCTTTAAAATGCCATTTATCTCACACCACTGTAAAAGATCACTCTTAAAAATCAAGCCAGATACACAACTGATGTAAATTGACATAATTGGATGGCACTATTTCAATTAACAGAAGAAAGGACTGGCCTCATTTAAAAAAACAACCACCAAAAAACACCAACATGATATAGGTAATGTAGTTTGTAGCAAATCACATTATTAAACTAGAATTTAGCTTTCACTATTTAAACTTCTTTCCACTTGGTCAATGAAACTAGAATACTTGTTTTAAACCCTTATTTTCTAATCAATTTTATTTTCAGGTTCTCAAGCAACAGCACAATGCTGCAATGTATAGACTGCAAGGATATATTTGTTTAGGAAAAAACATACTTCCGTTAAAATAAAACCATGGTAATACTGTGGCCTTTGTAAAACCATTATATTTTTAAACAGAATATAAATTTGGGGCCAATTTTGACTTAACAGCATTCCTTTTAATAAAGGCTTTATCTGCTTTTAATTAACATTTGAATATATATTTCATTTTTTTATTTGACGTCTGCACCGTAACAATGATGGTCAGTGGCATTTATCAACAAAAGAACTCCAAGTACATAGATTCTGTCAGAAATTTGGGCAATATTTTGCGGCATGTAATCCAAACAACTATCTGAAAGAATCTCTTAATTAGGGTTACCATAATTTAATTTAAAAAAAAAGGAGGACACTCCACAGGGCCCTGGCCCCACCCCAACTCCACCCCTTCCCCGCCCCCAAAGTCCCCGCCCCAACTCTGCCCCCTCCCCTGAACGCTCCGCCCCCTGCTCCTCCCCCTCCCCTGCTTCCCACGAATCAAATGTTCACGGGAAGCCTGAAACAGGGAGGCAGCAGGTAAGCTGGGGCTGGGTGCGGCCCAGTCCGGCCCCCCGGCTGAGCGCCCCCGGCCCCACCCTCCCTATTTTCCCGGACATGTCCGGCTTTTTGGGATTTCCTCCCGGACGGGGATTTGAGACCCAAAAAGCCGGGCATGTCCGGGAAAATCCAGACGTATGGTAAACCTATTTTAATAGTTATAACAAAGTTAATATACTAGCCTTTGCCTCTGAAGACCTAGATTAAAATGCTAATTTAGGTCACAGTGAAAATGTAGTGGTCTCATCCTAGATTCTCAGTCGTAATCAAACTACCATACAACTTGGTATGATTGACAGTGTATATTCAAGAAAGAGCTGTGATAGCAGAACTGTGGCAAGTTACGACTGAGGTATGTTTACAAGGCTGTGAAACTCTCTCTCGAGGCCTGATCAAACTTTACATGCCTCTAACAAGTGCTTGTAGTCCCTAACTTTAAGAAGTCTCAAATTCACACAAGAAGGGGGACAATATGGACGAATAGCACAGGTCTTATATAAGGTCAAACTGCACAATCCATGTTATTCATTTCTACTATGAAACCAAACCTGTTAGCCACCATTATGCTATAGAATCCATCAGGCACTATCTTGCTAACAGTCCTGCTCTTCCTCTATATCTACAGGTATGGTGCAACTGTAAATGCACAGTTCATAAATTAAATCAGAGACCGTGAATCTGCAGATGTGGCGAAGAAAATCAATTTTGGTCCCTAAAAGAGGCAGGTCTATTGGTGCAGAAAATCACTCAATACCATCAACCATAGTGCTGCCAATTATTGCAACATTTGGTGTTTTTCTTAAAGCCCCAACAGCTGGGGTCAAGAGACTGAGTCAGAATCCCTGCTTCCACTTCAAAAAAAAAAAAAAAGTTAAGTTTCTAGCTCTCATAGTTGCAGAGAAAAGCTTAAAAATGTGAACTGAGTGCACCCTAAAGGCTCAGAAACCAGAAGACAAGATACAACATTTATAGCTTTGGTTTTTTTAAACAATGATTTTGAATGTTTTAGGTTGGCAATACTGAGCTCACTGGTATCTAGGGTGACCAGACGTCCCGATTTTATCGGGACCGTCCC